CCCTCCAAATTTCCTCCAAAGGACCTCATTGAATACATAGAATATATTTGTGTAAACTTCTTACTTCCAACATTAACATCATACTTGTCAAAGTGTTTAGTGTTATTTAAATTTAATAGAAATTCACAATGAAACATGTATTTTTGGGGATCTGGTATCAATTTAAGAGAGTCGTATCTCTGCAAAGGAAGTGAGTATTCCATAGTACTCTCTCCCTGGGGGTCACAAAATGTAAGCCAAAGAGGGGAAAATAACATCAATCATTGACTGGAACAAAATCAAACCATCAGATTAGCAAGCACCTCACTAGTCCTAGAAACAATGATCATTTTCCTCCAACTGAAAATTTTGTGTAGAAAGTGACATTTCCATATTAATCACATGGCAGGTGTTCAGTTGATGTTTTGTTCAATATACTTGTAACAATGAAATATTGAACAAATGGTTTTAATACCATTGCAATTTAGGGATTATCAATTATATTTTATATGAGCAGTTTACAGTTTAGAGGTTAGAAATTTATAGCTATTGAGTAAAAAAAAATATAGTATTAAGTAAAAAGCATGCTGCTAAGTATTAGAAATGTTTTAAAACAGGTTCTAGAACATCAGTGAAACATGTTTAATTAAATACTTATTAAATTCTTATTTATTTCTGATCTTCCAATGTTTATCTTATTTGCATTCATGTTATTACTAGGGTCTTGGTAATATTATTTAAACACACATCTGGAGTTTAGAAAACTTTCACAGATATAAAATAAACTTAATATACTCTTATGCCAGACCAGGATACAATGTGTGTGTGTGTGTGTGTGTGTGTGTGTGTGTGTGTGTGTGTATGTATAGATAGATAGATTCTTGTTTGAAGTATAGATGTTAGTTGCTTCTCACAAAAGGATTGAGGTAGGTATTTTTATAGGGGTATATAAGTGTGTGTATGTACACATATGTGCATGCATATATTATACACCATTGGAACAGGTTAACATTACTTGGAAATGCACTAAGTAGCAATTTTCTTATTAGTTCAAAATAGTTTACACAGCACAGGCAGAGTTCACATAAATACTTTCTTTTTTTGGTATACTATCTAAATCAAAAATCTTGGAATTATGCCATTGGACCTCATCTCTACTGATTACTGTGCGTTAAAACAAGTACCAATGCACCTTTTTTCCAAGTTATATATTAACATGCATGACAACCAGTGTGTATCAGGCCTTCCTCCTCTGTGTGGAGCTCCTGCATGCTCTAGGTCTACTTGAATAAGTTTCTGTTTCTACAAAATTATTTCCCTACTGCTGAAGTGGATATATACAAGAACATATTTATGCTTTATAAACATGCATTGATTAATATTCTCTTATTTTAAAATATTAAACAAAATTAAATGAAACATTCATATTTCCCTTTACATTTTATCACTAAT